GTCACGAGATGAAACTATTATTATGTCGCCCCGTAGTGCTGACGCCGCTGGCCTGGGAATTTCACAAATCGAGCTGCAAAATTCACGCGCTATTTTTTTATTTTCTCCCAGCCCCTTTGTTGAGAAAACAGAAAAGCGCTGAATTCCCAGAGCGGTCCTGCCGGCTTTAGTAGGGCTTTTCCATCAAGGCGTATATATGCATGCGCTGCATTGATGGTAATTTGGCACGTGGATATCCCCTGCTGCTTACGCAAGAGGTACATTTGAGTTGAAATCCGGCAGCCGGAAAGTAGAGCATTAACTAAAGCTTTTTTCGCAAAGCCCAACGCACTTTTCACTGTATCGCAAGCAAATCCTCTTTATCCTCCCTATTCCCTGGATTGCCCGGGAGATTTCAAAATTATGGGGAAATTGCCTTTGTGATTCAAATTAGCCTTTAACGTTGAATGCAGATCGAATTATATTCTCACAAAACACGAAGGGATTAATTAGATTCAGTTGAATCATTACTCATTGGGGCGTTAATTAAAAACGATTTTTGAGCTGGAGCAGTGCCAAATTTTCCACGAGGCAAAATCTGATTAAGGCCATTTCTTGCATGTTGGAAAGTGGCAAGCGAAATATATTATGCGTCTTCAAAATATCCTTTCCGAGGAAGAGCCACACCCTTCCGTGGACTCGAGGAGAAAATTTGGCGATCGCGTTTCCCGCGCTAATTAGATGCTTCTCGGTGAGGCAAGCGTATATAATTACCATGAAAATACATTATGGTGGCGTACTAGAAATTATCATTATGATATATATTTGACGGAGAAAGGCAATTACCTGCACACGTCATGAAACAAAAGCTCTCAGTGCGCGGTTGTCATGAAAGCTCATTACATTTGGCCCGCGCGTCACATCTCAGTCTCAGACGGGAAATTGCAGAAAAAGAGTGAAAATGCCTCGTCTCGTGGACAATATAAGTCGAGAAAAACGTAAAAGCTTTTTGTCTCTACTCGGTTTTTTATTGCAAAAATACATCCGTGCAGAGAGAATTGCAAACTCATTTATCTGCGTTCCGTTTTTAGCAAGCGGGATGGTGACGGTTCTTTATCTGATCGTTCTAATTGTCAGCTTATCTTTAGAAAGCCTGGAGGCTCAGCACGCATGCAAAACCCGGAAAATTGCCGTTTGACGGGAGGCAAAAAACGTTGGAGGCAAAAAGTCAAATTCCCATCAGTTTGCGCAAGAGTCGGCCGGGCTCGCCGGGCGTAAAGAGTTCACTCGCCGAAATAGCCCCGCGGAGGCGGGCAAGACTTTTCACCGAGTAGTTTCTGCTCTTAGGCGAGGCCCCGTGGGATTTGTCTGTGCGGAGAGCACCGAGTAATCAAATTCCCAGACGAAGAATGGAGCCGCTTCGCCAAGCGCTTGTCTTCCGCAGCCTGCTGGGTCGAAAAAAGACAAAAGTCTCGATATTTGGTTATCAGTAAACTTCTCTGATCCGCCTAATGCGTCGAGACGAAGAACTTTGCACTCTCGGAAGCAAAAAAGTCTGGGTGACAAATTTAATGAGACCCTGCAGAGAGTGCAGAGTTCAGCGCCTCCGTTAGTTTTTTGTTATTAGTTATTATATTTATTTGCCATTTTCAATAGAGATGTTGAATTGAAAGATTTGTGTATCAAAACACACCACAGAAATATTATAATAAAATAAAATTTCTAATTTAAAAGTAAAAAATGACGAGTAAAATAAGAATAATTTTGTTCAATTCATTTTAATCGATTTAAAATAAAAGTCAGAAATTCCAATTCACGCCTTTGCAACGTCACCGTCAAATTCTCTGTTCAAACACACTCGATACACGACCAGTCAAATAATCCATCTTTGGTTGCTTGGAAACGGAAACAGACTTGACGTATTTTCCGTATTTTCCGAACGAACCAGAGAAAGGAAGCCTTTGTTGGCTGATAGATGATATAGGCAGACGGAGCGGGATTTTTTTCAAGAAAAGCATAACAAAAACAGCAATCTACGAGATTTTCCCGTGCAGGAGAGAAATATTTCTCCAGAGGGCATTTTTCTAAACAACCCCATGGGCCATAACGGTCCTAGATTGGGTCCTCTCCAACCCAGTCGATGTTCGGGTATTGTGTCTCAAACGTGAACGCGAATATATGCATGTGTATTTGTGATGTGATGGGTCGGAAACTGCCTCTAACGATTACCGCCCGACTCAATTGCGAATGCCTTGTGATTGATGGAGGGTTGTTGCTTCGCCCAATACAAAGACGCTTGTCAGGGCATTGTCCCGATGACACACAGATACGCCATGAGAGCCATTTTCCGTGAACATACAAGATAGAGCGAAAGCGAAAGCGGCGCATGAAAAGAAATTTTATCTATCAAATAATGGCTTGTCGCAGATTACACCCTCGTTTTATTACGTTAACCGAAGGAGACGAGAACGCGCGCTATAACTGGGCGGCGATAAAAGTGGGAGGACAAAATCCGACGCTCTTGGCGTGCATGCAAAATGAGCCCCGGTTTCGTCAATTTCAACTTCGATCTTTATGCCGTGACGAAAGCAACCCCATCACTGACAGGTAATAATAAATTACAAAAAAAAATGAAGAATGGATGAATGGAATAGAGATTTAATTAACTTTTAATCAGAAAGTCACTTATTTATTCTAGGCGATTTTTAGAAAGATGAAAGTCTCAAAAATCTTATTAACTTTTGATAATATTATTGTTATTATATTTTAAACATTTTTTTTTTATTTTTATTACATAGAAACTTTTGACTAATCGCCTGTTACATGGAATTACGTTCCAAGACGCGGTTTTGTCTCAGTAACTCGCGTCTCGGAACATAATTCCACGTAAAAGGCGATTAGTCAAAAGTAAACTAGTTTAATTATTTTCCGTTTCAAGTGGTTTCTTTGGGTTTCAAATTCTCGGAAAAATATGATAAAGGTGAATTGATCAAGCACGACTCTTATGCATAATTTATTATTTATTTCTCTTTTGATTATTTGCTAAAGATAAAATAAAATAAATTATCCAAGCTTCGTAGATTTCCTAACATTTCAACTCAAAACATGCAATTCTGCGTAATTTCTGCTAGCAATAACACTCTTTTTTAGTGTTATATTTTTGTGCATTTTAAAGTATAAAAAAAATTATAAATCTTTTATGAAGTTTGAGATGGTCAAAATAGTGTTTAGTCTTTTTTCCGAATGAAAGATGAAAAATACATAGTCAAGAAAAAACAAACAACTCGGTTGCATTGATTTTTTTTTCAATCGTCCCGTTTTCAAATTAGTCAAATAATAAGGACTGGCAATAGAGCTAAGGGTCTAAAATTTTTACAAATTCGTCGACTAAAAGAATAAAATAGACGCGGAATTGCCTAAAAAGATGAAATTTCAAAAGGACTACATTTAGAGGTAAGGATTAATGTTTTCAAAATCAACCACAAAAAGGCTAAAAGAGTCCAGGAATTGCCAAATAAGAAAAAATCAAACAACTCAGTTGTTTGATTTTTTATTTTTTCAATCGTCCCGTTTTCAAATTAGTCAAATAATTAGGACTGGCAATAGAGCTAAGGGTCTAAAATTTTTACAAAATCTTCGACTAAAATAATAAAATAGACGTGGAATTGCCAAAAAAGTTCAAATTAGTCAAATAAGGTAACTAGAAATTATCAGAATGGTCTATTCAAAATTTAAATTTATTTGTAGGGTAAATGTTTTGAGGAAATTTACTTTTAGGGAATTTGGAGTGAATAATTTAGGACATTTATTTTCAGGGCAAATGAAGACGTTGGTTTTAGAACATATTAATTTAGGGTTAATAACGGTAACTCCACTTTTTCACCTACTTTCGCTTCAGACAGCATTAAACGAAATCTGAGCAGTTTTTATTTTATAGAAAAAAGGGGCATTTCATTAAATTACATTCTTGCATTATATCTCGAAAGAAAAAGTCTTGTTGCGAAAGGCCCTCTTAAATGTTGGAACTGCGAAACGTAATGAAAATAGTTAACAGAGTTTCATGTCGTAAACTTCGGTTAGCTCATCAGGCAACTCGGTGTAATATTTCGCAACGGGTATGGCAGGAGCAAAGAGACGAACGAGAGAGGATTACAAGGCGCGTGGCATGTACTGAATGCACAATTATTGCGAGAAACATGAACCCTTCGCTCACTTATGTACATGTATATGCAAATTGACGGAGTGCCGCCTTGCAAAAGCACTTCGCCCTCATTGATCGCCGTCACAATGAATGATTTTGCTGCATGAATTTGCCGGCAAATGAGTGACGAGTTTATGACGTCTTTCTGCCGAAAGTCGCGAAGAAATAGCTGTTCTGGCACTTTCCCCGATGAAAGATAAGAGGGGTATTATTTTGATTGGCAAGGAGGTGAACAAAACGGACGCCCTGAATGTGGATTAGGGCCTGCAGCGTGGGCGCATTTCTATGTACCCCTTCATCATTGGTATTCCACCCCTGTCTCGCCAGTTTCTTGGAGATTGTGGGATGGATTTGTACAAAAGCACATAACTTTTACAATAAAATTAAGTTACGTTGTCCGCATTCTAGAAAAATAAAGTAAAAATACATAAAAAAGAAGACTGAGAAAAATAATTCAGTGAATGAAAGTAAAGTGGGTAAATTTAATATTTTAAATAAATTTCTTAATTTTGTTAATAAAAAAACAAAAACTGGAAAAACTTCCTTTTGATTTATTTTCTTTTAATTTGAGTGAAAATATAATCTATATAGACCAAATTTATTTTTAGATAAAGAGTAATTGATACTTGGCCTAAATTATTCATTGCCAGCCTCTAAAAGGTGAGACATTAATGATTTAATGAGCAGGCGACCTACATATTGCGAAACTGAACCGAAAAAACCATCCCGCCAAAAATCGATTATGACGTCGTGATCTAGATTCGAGTGCAGGAAATAGAACAAGTGGTTACTTAATTGATGTGATTTTGGTGAGACTCACCTGGAGGAAGGGTTGCGCCCTGTAGGGCCCGGCACGGCCGCCGTAGCCCAGGTTGGAAAGCATCTCAGGGCTGAATCGGTTGAAGAGGCCGCCCCATGCTTGGACGCAGCCTGGCGCCATCAGGGCGCACAGGACGAGCAGGGAAGCGGCTGCAGCAGCGGTGGTCATCCTCTTCGGTCGGAGCTGCAGCTGGGTCTGTCCGTCTCGAGGACGGGTCAAAGGTCAAATAAGTCCTGGCTGGTGTGCTTGGGCTGTGCGGCGTGGGCTGCGTCAGGCGCCGACGCCAGCGCCGCCCCTATCGATCGCCCCCGCTCTGCCGCCCTCAGCCCGTTTCATTCAGACCTACACCATACCACCCCATACCGTGCACACACACACACGCACACTTTAATTCCGCCTCCGAGTATATGGTGCCCTGCCTCACTCCCCCACCCGTTCTGCTTTGTCACGGCGGGGCTTTTTCTTGTTACTTTTTTTTTCATTTGGGCTCGAAAAGACTCATTCCGTGCCCCTGTCTCTGAATTTTGCAATGCGTTCCAAATTAACACAACAGACGCACAGACCAGGTGGTCATTAAATTTTAACAAGGTTGTCTGTCTTTCTTCTTCGGGAGTTCATTTGGCTTTAATTAAAATTCTGTGTACCAATCTTGTGAATTCCATCAGCCCCAAATTGAAAATCACCGATTCAGCAAATTTCGCTCTAATTGCAATTTGTTTAAAAAGTTCCGCCTCCAATTAAGACCAAAATAAATGAGATAAAAAAAATAAAAATAATCTTCGCAAGAGAATTGGAAATTTATGTTTACTTCAAGTCTGGATCAAAATTCATAATTGTAAATAAATAATATCAATATATAATATTACATCAATAATTAAGCCTTTCAAAAGTTCTTATCTGGTCTTCTCTTTAGTAAATAAGTATAAAATCTAAATAAACAGCAATGTATTTTATTGTTATGAGGGCAAAGAGAGTAATTTTTTCTTTTTCCAATCATTACATTCATAGTTCTAGTTCTCAACCAATATAGAGAATGGTTATTATTTATGTTAGAATCAATTATGTAAATGAATGATGTTTTAATGCTATTATAATTGACAATTGTGATAGATATTGTCATAATTTGTAATCTCTCTGCAAACAATTAAAATGATATGAACCAGCTTAACTATCTAAATAAGTAAAATATTTTTCTGTTTCAATGAAATTCCACGAATATTTAGCAACCTACAAAATAATAAATTTAAAAATATATACGTAATAAAAAAAAATTAATTGAGATAATTAAGCAAAAGATAACGATTTTATAAAAAACACATCATCCCCTTTCAAAATACAAGCTTTAAAGTAATCGATAATAAAAGGATTAATTATATTTTTACTTAATAATGTTTGAAATCCCTACAAATTAAGTTCTATGCAAGGAAATTAAAGTATGGTAGTGACTTGTTAAACAAAGTTGGGGGGAGACTGATAAAATAAGAATGTGTCGTTTTTTTCTGGGCTTAGAACTTTGAGGAAATTTAAAAGTAAATAATGATGAATTTGCATGAAATATGAACCTCTTAGTAGGCTTGTACCCTTGTTAAGATATAATGCTAAAAAACGTCATGATTTTCCCGTTTCACTTTTTTTCTTTTTTTTTAATAAAGTACGTTTCTCGGCTTTATCGCTTTAATCCGCTGCAAATTGCGCTAATATTTCAAAGTGGATAGTTATGATAAATGGTATAGGAAAAGTGACGTCGAAAAATTTCCTCCCACCCGCGTGTACTAAGGTGAAAGCAGCAAGGGAAAATTTAATTCAGCGTGCCCAAGGGATGTGTATATGGCAGTAGCGTAGAATATCATATATTTTTCGCAACAGCAGCTGCTGTGGCAATTTAGCCGTAGCTTGGGCCTAGCTGGACTGGCAAATACAAATATATACAATAAGCCGCGTCGCCTGCAGTAATTCTACTTTACGGCGCCGCCAGCAAACACAGGTGCCCTTTAGGCTGCAAATCTCCCACACGGCGATTTGCATGCCCTTCTCTTGTCAGTGCGGCTGTTATTATTATGAGTGCAATTGTTGCGCTCGAGCGAATCGAAATGCAGCTGGGAAACGGCTTTTGTGTGTGCGAAAATAGGTCATATATGTATAAAAGACGACATTTTGCAGCGCAACGCGAAAAGTGTTGAATTTCACACATTTCATCAGCGGAAAATAAAATATTCCGCTTCACCAAGCCACTTATTTGCATAAAGAGAAAAGCAGACGGCGCATGGAAAAAATTCTTTGAAACTTTATCACAACTTCAAATGAGAGCAAATTGAACACGGAGCCTTTGTTGCTCTCACGGGAGAGGATGAAACGTGCGGAGGCGTACCGAGTATACAGGCAGCAATTCGAGAGTGCACAGACTGTTGATCAATATACACAACGGTCAATTAGCCATGAAAGTTTAATGGTGCGCTCATCGCAGGGAGTAATATCGGAATTGCAAAAGTTGTCAACCTGCGAAACACCAGAGAATTAATTGCTTTTTTTTAACAACACCTGCCCAAGTCTTAGAAAGACAGACACCCACGCACCTTTTCTTTTTTATTTTAGAGTGGCTGGATTTGGGTGTTCTTTGCCTGAGAAATTATTACCCCTCCAGGCTCAGCAATGACGTCATTATCTCCGTGAGTGCTCGGGTTGATTTAGGTAAGCGATATTATTATACTGCTCTTTGCGAGCTACATACCTTTACTGCCAGTTTCTCTCGGCAAAGCTTCGAAATATGAGCTGCTTTATTTACGACCGACGCATTTTCACGCATGGAAAATTTCAATTTGCAAACAATTATTTGATCTAAATCGGACACATGTGCTTCCTTTGCTAATATTTGAACAAGGAATTATTTGCTATTGATTAAAGTGATTGCATAACTGACAATGTTTCAGTACATGTTGAAAAAAGATTGAATAACAAATTTCAGCAAATATAGAAATATAGAAATAAGGTTTTTACGTGAATTTTTTAAACTGTTTAGGAAATTAATAATTCCACGGTAAATCGAATACAAGGTCAGCTTTCTTTTGGTGATTTTTTTTTAGTCATAAGGTACAATTATTGCTCCAGATTCCTGACGCACTAAAAATCTGCCCAGTGAAACCGTTTCCCACTCTCTGCAAGGACTACCTGTGGCAAAATTTGTAATAAGCAATGAACAAAATTATATCAACTGCGGCGGATGGGGTTTTTTGTTCTCGGAAGCTTTAGCGAAATTCTTGCTAGAGGTGGTGCCGCAACCAACCTTTTTTCTCAAACAATTTTTATTTCAAAAATGGAACGTAAATAATGTGATGTAACAATTGTACAAATAAACAAAAATAATAATTTTTTCAAGCTTCGGGCTATCTATGAATTTCAATAAATTAAAATTTGTCTTGGATTTTATTGTCAAATCATACATATACATTTTGCCGTGTCAGTAAATAACACGATTTTCCCTTTGTTCTGGCATTTTTTTTTTTTAATAAAAAAATTTGTCACACAAAAGATACACATTTCAATTGAGAAAAATCCTTCACCGCGGCACTTGATTTTCCTCATCAGCATTCACCACAGTCACACGGTTGTATATATTGAACTGAATTTCCATGATGTGCCCCTGCATGGAAAGTCTAATTGGAAAAGTTTTCCGCTAGATTTGTATTTCGGGCGTGCAGACTCGGCGCAGCAACAAATGAAATACCGACTGACTCGATCTATGCAACCCGCCCGACGGTGAGCCCAAGTCGGTTGAGGTTATGCTAAGCGGCCTCGCCGCCGGATCAATAGGGCGATGCTATCATTATCTTGCTGCCTCTTAATGCATTGTCCTGCCGGGGTAGAATTCGCGTGAACGTTTTTGCCGAAAATAAATCGACCCCGCGTCACGCGAACTTTTACGACCCGGCAATTAATCAGAATGCATCACTCTAGCTCTAAACCTGGCTTTCGCCTACTTGTTGGGCACTCGAGGTATATCAAATTATTTGCATTTATACGAGGCGCTTTTTTTGTCGTTTCAGTTATTTTGTAACGAGTCGCGCGCGCGGTCACATCACTGATAAAACGCCGCAAGGGCCCGTAAGTTCAAGTGCGTAAAAGCAGCGCTCATTTCCATTTGACCCCGCCCGCTGACCTTTTCTCTGATAATTTATTTCATTTCGTGCAAAATTACCAAGAGAATTACAAAAATATCATGAATGTACTCCACAAGTCCACATTAGAGTGGCTTTAAAGAACTGCTTTTTTTTTAATTTCTTTTCCATATTGCAGGTTGAGAATGAAAATAAAAGGCGAACGCGAGTGGGGAATTATTCATCACGCCCTCAGACAAACTCGGTTTGTTTTCCTGGATGTGTGCAAGCCCGAGGGAAATTTCTCAATCAATTATTGCGTCTCGATCTGTATGCTTGTTGCTGAATTTGCTCTCAATTTACGCCTTCTCATTGTTCAATAATGTGAACTGTGCGCAAGCTGGGAATAAAATGCACAGAGCACGCAATAATAAATTTGTTAATTAATTTAAAGTAATTGCCGCATATCGCGCTCTAGGGTGTTATGATATTGTATTAATATAACGCAACAGCGAATTCGCTGAGAAAATGTATTCCACTTCTGTATTTAGCCTTGACTCGGCAAAGTTAACTGAATAGGAAAAGTCGAGTATTTAAAGAAACTCGTCAAGTCGTTAATATAATTTTAGGTTTATTAATTACCAATAAAATAGATCTTGAACTGATATTCAGGAATTGTAGCCTTAACACAAATAAGCTATGCTTTTTTATTTGTTTTAAAATGGAAATGCGCTTCTCTGAATTGAATTTATTGTGAGCCACATTGACTTACTCCTGTGGCACTAATTTGATGCGAAAACAGCGTGGAGCTGCTTTTTGCCGCATGGACTAGTTTGAGTCGATGTGCAAATATAAATTTAATCATACTGCTTGTTTATATTTAAACTGAATTAATTTATTATCACTCTTTTTTAGACGCTAAATAAATTTTGATTATTATTATTATTTAGTATTAATAAATAATATCATATAAAAAAAATGTGTAATATTTGCTACTTAAGGTTCATCTTATTGTTAGCAATAAGCAAGACAATTGAAATTTTGGAAATGGTTAAGGAGTAAAAAACGTGATAATTATTATTTAAACCTACAACACACAAACTTTCATTAGAAAATGGACTTATCAAGTATGTATAGGCGTCAAACTTGTCTCATAATTGATATT